CAGTAGATGGAGGGCTATATCTAAATATAGGAAAAAAAGAAGATTCTCCCAAGGTAGGGGTGACCAATCTGTGGCAGAAGCATGACAAGTGGAATGGGTAGCCTCTGCATGGCAAATGGCAGACTGGGTAGGGGACTGGGAACACAGTGGCAGATAGGGCAGGGAGCAGAAGCAGAGCAGCAGACCAGGCAGGGGAAACAGACTGGAGAGGCACTGCTCCTCAAAAGGTTCCCACTGCCCCAGACATGCTTTAAGCATGCTGGAAAAATGGCATTCAGCAATGGAATGAATAAGCTAAAGCAATAAACATAAAACCACTGTACACAAATATGACCTTAGATTAGGTAATAAATTAAACTATGAAGTAAATAAATTAAATCTTAGTCTTTGTTCAGTGGTTATTCAGAAAAATAAAATGGAATTATGACTTGTTTTTCAAAAACAGCACCAAAGTTGATGCCCGTTCACAGATGACACAACTTTCTGTATTTCTGTTTATTATCACTAAAAATAATCTGATATCTTCACAAAGATATCTTTGAGCATGTTTTTCATGAACCATGTACGAATGTGTGCAATGCAGCTGTAGACAAAATTCTTATTCTAAAATGTGCATAGATTTAAACATGATATATTGAAGGTAATTAAGATTATAAACCTAATGAGAATGTATGTTAGTTATAGAGGTTCCATAATGAGTGGACTACAGCTGATTATATTGCAGACAAAGGTTGAGAATTTCTACTTAAAATGATAAGATACAAGTTAATTCAAATGTGCCTGTAGAAGAGCAACTTGTTTTTATTACCAAATTGATAGTAGTTTTTATCTGTAAAAACAGGTTTGCCTTTGAAATTTGAGATGCAGTTAATATTTCCACCAGGTTCTAGAGTTGTAAATCATAACTGAATGTGAAGCATCACTTGTGATTACCAGGCCAATCAATACGTAGACTATATAAAAGTATTAAAACAAAACACAAGCAGCGTCTGAGTTGCACCCAAGAACCAACACCAAAGTAACAGTGTGAGTGATCCCCCCGCACTGAAATCAATGGGAAATTTCCAAATACATTTTCCTAACATTTCTTCCAGTTTGCTTTTAAAGTGTCCAAGCAATGAAGCTCTCTTTCCATTTCCCCTGGGAACTGCTCAGTGGATAAAACTGAGACAACCCCTTTCATCTGCGGTGCTGGCGCCTGATGCTGCCGGGGTTTTCTACAGCAGTACACCTATCCCTCACAGGGTGGAAACTGCTGAAACATTCCCAGGAAAAACAGTGCACATCCACCATTGGAGTACTCCTTACCGTGAACATTTCTCATACCCCTTCTTTTCAGTGCGAGCGGGTACGGTCACCCTAACTGGGTGGACTGAGGTGGAGCCAGGTGTCAATCCCTTCAGCTGGGTTGTTTGAAAACGGGTTAGGAAACTCTGCCTGAACCCACAGGCCTTCAGGGGCTCACCACGGCGGAGATGGCCCAGTGCTCGCAATCCGCGCATACTTCTGCCACCGCCCCTCCCTGCCAGGCCTGAGGTGCGACCCGCGCTCGCTCCGGTAAGGAAGGAGCTGCCCACTCGGGGCTGTGCTGGGCTGACAGAAGCAGCCCGGGGCTCGCCCTCCCCGGGGTAGGCCAGGGGCTTTTGTCCTGGCTCTGGGGGGGGCTTCCACAGTCAAAAAAAAGAGGGGCAAAGCTACGAGCCGGAGCTGGCGCTTTCCGAGGGCGCCTCCAGTGCAGGAAGGAGAGGCCCAGAGCCTTGAGAAGGGTCGGGGGGAGCGGGGACACCGGGGGGGCTTCAGGCCGCGTCTCTCCGGGTCTGCGGACGGAGCAGGAGGCGGCTCCCAGCCCCTCCCTCGGCCCAGGGAAGGGTGCGGCGGTCAGGGTCGGGGTCCGACTCCACCCCCCGGTTGCTCTGCCCGACGCCTCCGCCA